CAAAAATAAATAAATAAATAAATAAATAAATAAATAAATAAATATTTTTAAAAATGATAAGAGACTGAATAGAATTCAATTTTTTATTGAGTGTTTTGGCTGAGCCAATATTTATCCACATTTCCATTCTCAGCTTGGTTTTTTGTAGTAGGGAAATGAAATACAGAAAAGTCAAGTAAAAGAGATAGAACTACAATGAAATAAACAAAAGTCATAGATAAAGTCAGTTGAATTTCTGAAATTTTAGTTCATTAATGTCACTAATAGCAATATACATATGTGTAAGATATAAAATATTTGATAAGATGCCTTAAGAAAGTGGTTTGGAATATTAAAAACTATTAAGACTTGCTTGTTGGATATTATGCTTTTGAAGACAGACACTGCTATATTGCCATTTGGAGAAATATGTTTAAAGATCTTAACTGGGAAATATCTTATCTTACTAGTAAAAGTATTACTTAGGGTCCTGATGGGAGGATCTTTCTGGCAATAGCATTATATTGTCTCCTACTGTGTGACAACTGAACAAAAATATATATAGTTTGACTCTAACATATTTCTTCAACTTCTAGAATGAAAGAGTCTTTCTATTCCTTTGTTTTTCTCCTTGTTTTTTTAACATGGAGGTAGGGATAGAACCCAGGGCCTCACATATACTAGGTAAGCACTCTATCATTGAGCCATACTGTCAGGCCCTCCTAGTACCACTTAAGTTTTGAGACAGGCTCTCGCTAAGTTGTCCAAGCTGTCCTCCAAATTATGATCATCTTGCTTCAGCCTTCTGAGAAGCTGGGATTATAGGAGACAGCTTCTCAATCATACATATTTTTATCTCTATGGGCATGTAGCAAATAATACAGCAGTGCTACCAACAACAGAAGACTAACATATAAAGTCACCCAACAATAATGAATGTTCTTGATATAGGATATAGGGCATGGCAAAGCTGGCTGGGACAATGAGTAGGTCCTGTCAACCACAAGACTCCAGGGCATCTCAAAGACCCTGTAAATAGAACTTTTCCCAAGCTCCAGCAGCATATGATAGCAAAAAAAAAAAGAACCAGATATCATGAAAATCAGCTATTGTGTGTTTGCACAGTAGCCTTTGGTGCCTGTGAATGTAGCATATACTTTTATTTTTTGTTTTTACCTTCTTTTAATCTTTGTTTGGCCTAAGTATTCAGAAGAACTGTTTTTTTTCATACCCTTTTGTCCCTCAGTTTTCAAATAAACTTTTTGGCACTATTATTGTCTTGTCACATCCGATTCTTTGTTTGAGGCAAGAAAAACATAGAATCTTTTGACTCCTGAGCTCTTTCTAAAAGCCCTAACAGTATAATAAATTATGAAGCATCGTTAAAATGGCATATTACACAAATGTTCATTAGGAATAATGCATAGAAACATTGAAT